CGTGATGAGTATAAAGCCAGGTATGATATCCAATTAAAAGAAATAAAATCACTCCAGGCTATGATTAAGATATTGGAGGGTAAGTTAGCATCAGCCCAAAAAAACGCATTTTCGATTCAAGAAAATTCATCAAAAAAAGATTCTGAGATTATGTCTCTTAAAGCTAAACTAGAGCATATAAAGAGTAAATTGGCTTCAAAGATCAATGAGCTTGAACGATTAAAATCAGATACTACATCAGCGGAGTTAGCACGGCCAAGATCTGCGATTACTGGAGGTGACAAAAAAAATACGCAGAACGAGGAACAACTATTACTTTGCAGGCTCTTTAAGGGTGACTCTTCAAGTCATAATAATCTTGCCCAATATTTTGTACATAGAAAAAGTATAGAAGAATCCAAGATAAGTGACTCACGGAGTGAGGATAGTAAAGCATCTGAAACTAATGTTAGTGAAACTAATAAGGATAATATATTTTAACCTCAAGAAATAGTAGAGCTACCACGGGTAAAAAATGTGACACCTTTCCTTCCAGCTGATTCTCATTCTTTTTCTCCGATTGAATCGCAATCACAAATTCCAGTGGAAGTAATTCCTGTGGTGAGTGTATTGGGGTCTCCAATGTTTGCCTTGCTTTATTAATTATTGCTACTATATGGATTACGTTTATTAGACAGAAAAAAATAAAAAAGAAAAATAACGATATATATAAAGATATAATACCTCTGATTCAATTATAATAGCGGAGCTAGTGATAAATCACATATTTTTATACCAATATGCAAAAAATGAAACTATTCCTTATAGATATGGACGAAGCTAATAAGCATATCGCATCTCGTTGTCAAACTTATCCAGCTAGTCCTACGTGGCCCTTCAAAATGATAGTCAGTGGAAGAAGCGGATCAGGTAAGACTAATTTAGTTGCAAATCTTGTTTTGGGTGATAAAGGTGAGTGCATATATAAAGGAAAAAAAGGTGGAAGGAGATATATTTCTTGCGATGATTTAATTGTATATGGATATCATCCTAATGAGCCAAAATGGGATTTGTTAGATATATGTATAAATTAATTGCAAGTAATCCAAGAGCTCCATATTACGAATATATTAGATTTACCTATATTTTACCTGAAAAGATTCCTAGAGTAGATTCGTTCTCACCTAAAAGAAGTACAGTAATTATTTTTGAGGATGTATGTTTAGCATCAAAACATATCCAAAATCGAATTAGCCAGTTTTTTATACAAGGACGCCATAGAAATATTAGTCCAATTTACATATCACAGAAATATCATAAAATTTCACTTATTAATCGTGAAAATTCCAATTACTTGGTATTATTTAACTCAGGTAGCTCATATGAAGATATTTCAAAAATTATTCGTCGATATACTGATGATGTAAAAAATGCATCTATGATTATTAACAGCTATTTACGAAAAGGTGAGTTCGTTGTATTTGATTTAGATAGACCCGAGGAAGATCCATTGGCAATTCGGTTAAGATTCGATACACCATTAAATTTGCAGAAAGAGATAGAGTTACGGCAAAAGCGCAAGATAAAAAATATATTACCTGCTGAACCCACTTCATAGATTTTTATTTCACATTGGTATTTTCTATTCCAGAAATTTCATAATATATTTCTCAATTGTGATCTCAAGAATAGCATTATTGCAAAGCAATGAGGCTCTGCCTCTAGGAAAACGGTGGACAACTACCTATCTATGTCTTCAAGAGTATCAGTAGAACTAGCACAGCCAAAAAATATTATATAAATAGTATAGGTATTTTGTACCTGCAAGGAATTAATAAATCGAATAAATACTATGCTTCTATCTCTAAAAGTCGCTTTTGGAATCTAATCCGCAATTGACTCTTTTTGCATTCTATCCAATTATCCGGAATATAATATTCTTTATATTGTCTATTAATAATGGAACTGCGCATCATAGGATTGTTTTTATATAATTCAATCCATTTAGTACGCCACTAATTAAATTGTTCTCGAGTCTGAGAATTTTTCACTTCACGTCTTGTTAAACCTAAAAATTTCATATCATCCGGAGTATTATCATTTGCTAAGCTGTTCCAAGCAAGTTGTGCATTCGATGATACTCTTTCTTGGAATCGTCTATATGCCTGTTGAATAATTCTTGCTGAACCATCTCTAGTTCTAGCTTTATCGCACCCGTAATCCCAATGTTCCTGCATCAGGTCTTTAGGTTCAAGAATTTCTACATATCTACCTCTTGAGAAATGGTGCTTATTCTTCGGCTTTATATCGACATTAACACGAATTACCTTCCAACACCCAAAGCAAATTGCAGTCCCATTCTTGAATGGTTTTGGGCGATAGTAATTAAAATTTTCTAACTTACCTCCAGGATAAGAAGCGAATAAGCAGGATCGGTGATATACACTAAATTTTTGTTGGAGTAACAAATCTTGAAGATCAATTCTAACTCGCACTGCCCATTGAATAAGATTTTCATCCTGCCTTACGATAGACAAGTTATCGTATAATCTTTCAGTTGCAAAGAGTTTAACATATTGCTCATAACCATAACCAGTATAATTGAGGCAGTATGCCATAACATACTTCATATCATATCCAGGACGATTATTAAAGGGTTTGGGTAATGTTCTATCTTTTTTGTTAATAATAATATGAATATCTAAACTAGACATATTTAGTGATTATTTGTCTTATATTTTTTTAACGATTATATGGTTTATAGAATCTATTAGATTTTATTAACTTAATACTTCCTTAATTCCGGATTCAATTTTTGCGAGAGGTTTTGTAATGAATGTATATCAATTAAATATATTAAGTCAGAGGCCCTATCGCTTAATAAAGACAAAATTTTTTGCATGACTATCCCAGGAAGAAGTATAATAAATAAAAAGCGAGGTGGATACATTCAAATTATTTCTCATCCAATAGCTCAGTGGTCTAAACCGCAGGAAGCCTGTGATCTTCCTCTCCTCACTAAAAGACAATAGTAATTTGACAATCACGCCCTCAAAGCAGTACTTGTATAAGAACAAAAGAGTGAGGTGGATACATTCATATCATTCACATAGTGTAGCCTGGTGGTTTAAAACCCAGGAAGTCTGTTGGACCTTCCTCTCCTTGCATACACCCCATGTAACAGAATGACGATCGCACCCTCAATAGCAAAATGAAAAGCGAAAATATAAAATTCAGAGAGATAACAGTCGGATTCTGGGCCTGCTATTAAAGACGATGACTGCACCTAAGAAGACTATAATATTAAAGGTAGAATATTAGCTTATAGATTTTCGTTAAAAATTAGAAATTAGATCTATTTTATATGTATGTGGCTATAATAATCATAACAGGTTATCTAATAATTAATTGCATTTGGCACTATGATAATTCGACACGAAATTGCTCTAAAATAATCCAGATCTTCGAATTTAAAATACGTACGTATACATTATTATTATTCTGTTTTGGGGCTGTTTCTCTATTTTTGATAAGTTTATAAATAAATAATAACGATAATGCATAAATGGGGGTTGTGGGACAGTAAACAAACATATGCGCTATATTATATGTATTATATGAAAAAACAATATATATCAATCAATTACCGTAATCAGTTATATACCCCCGATGGTAGAAAATAATTGGCTGATAATTGGCTGAGATAGCGGGTGATAATGGATTAGACCGCACAAAAAAATAAAGTTCATAATAGTAATACAGGTTACGAAATCGGCATCTGGTTTGTATCACTCTCCTGCAGAATCATTTCCCATGGTCGATTTTTTTATTAATAATATCTAGACCATTTTCTTATTATATACAACATACGATCCCACGATAAGAAAAAGTGCAAATGAGACTTAAAAGGGCTATAAGAGGAATATGTATAACATTCTTAATCAGTAGTTTTATCGAAATTCATATGTTACTAGGACTTGGAATCTCCGCCATTCCCAGATCGTCAACTTTTTTCACTTCGTAGTAGCGATTGTCAAATCTAAGGGGGTTCAATTTACCTAAAAAAATTACAAAATATATTCAGTATTTAGAGCTTATGACCGGGCGGACTTGCTTTGCTAAGTATGATTTGGCATTGTGTTAGGGTAACGTAATTACTAATTACGGAATTTTTTTCTAGTAGGTTTTTTAGATCTGACGAATGGACGGTATAAAAATAAGTGATTTTTGGCTCATAAGGCGGGTAGTAATAAGTTGCATATTTTTTTGACTTAATTTAATTGCAATTTATTCTCAAGGTAATGTCTTGTTTATTATATGGGAGCTACAACTCACTGAGTTTCTTTATTGCTTAACGAAGTCTATGGAAATGAAACTTATGAATTTTTATTTTTAGCACAAAATGAGCAGTACTAACGATACCACCACCCCCAAGACTAATGAACCTAACGCCTCCAAGACCAGCAAAAGTAATGCCTCCAAGATCAGCAAAAGTAATGCCCAAACTTTGTCTAAACCTCAAAACAAGCTAAGAGAAAACTTACCTCGTAGGTAAACTTTGTATTGCGTGATTATTTATTATATTTCTGAAACAGGAATAAGTTTTCCATTTTATAAATTAGGCAATATCCCCAGGAACCTTCAAATGAAATAGATAACTACTATTCTGATGAAATAGAAGATAAGCATGAAGACTCCCCCGACCCCCTATTTAACAATGATATACACTTTGGAGCTGGTGATGCTGATTGTAGTGATCAGGAAAAATATGATCAGGGCGAGATTGATTGATATAGAAAAAAATTTTTTTTTGTTTTTTATATATCTTTACTTCGGTAAAGTTTTTATATTAATAAAGCAAGGTTCCGGGCACGAAGTGCCATTATTTTGAAATATGTTATTTTTGGAGTGACTTATACTTTGTGTAGCATGAAATAAAGAGGGGCTCCATTTTTTATTTTATCATGATTGTGTGAATGGGTAGAAAAATTAGTCGAGATTTAAATGTGTATAAATAGAGGTATAGCCATGATGT